AAGAAGTGTGGGAGGGAGGGGAGGGAGGGGAGGAATGGAAGGCGAAGATGGAGGTGCATACCGTCACCGGAATGTGAATGTGTTGATGGTCAGATTTGAGAACAAAATACGGAAGGGAAAACAAGGGCACACATGAGAGATGGAGGGTGTACTAGACGGTGGTGGTTACAATTAGATCTAGAATCATTCAATTAATCAAATTTAATAATTATAATAATTATTATTATTTAAATTATAGGCTAAACTTTAACTTTTTTGTACAGCGCATTCCACTCGACAGCAAGCTCTATGCCACTTTACTTTACTGTACTTTACACAAGAATATTATTACCCCAGCAGACTATAGAACACTCAGACTCAGAAACATTCTCAGCTTCCCGGAAAGCATACAATGCAAGCAGCCGATTAAGCGCTCAAACACTAACAAACTGACGAGATCTTTTGTTGTGTATATTTATGAGGAGGATGGAGAAAGTCAGAACTTCCCGACACAGAAACTTCTTGGAGACAGAGTAAAAAAAAAAAAAAACTGCCACTGAAAGCCAAAATACTGTAAGTCCATTAAAAGCAGAAAGTATGGAAACGGTGTGTGTACACTACAAGATAAACCACAAACAGCTCAAGCAACATCATCTTGATAACTAATTAAATAATTAAATGAAAGGGACATCTTAAACAAGGGCAGAAAATTCAAATTCAACCCCCATCCATTCCCCACTTCCCCTCTCACTTCATCAAATTGAAAGAAATTCGGGCGGAGAAACTGTCGTTGACAAGTCACTTACAAGCTGTTGTGAACATCAGCCCCTCCCTTGAAAGCAATAAAATTTATATAATATCTAATAACATGTAATAATATATATTTCATTTCACATGTGTTACATGATTCATACCACCAATAAATTACAATTATTATCATCATTTAAAAGTACGATTACAACTGTAATTGAAATATAAAACAAAAAATGTCATATAATAAAAATGTCAAAAAATTATAATATAGATAAAAAGATACACACACAAGATTTGATATACACAGTCGGTGTACATATATGTGTACTAACAGACATAAATTCCTACATTGGAGAAACTGAACTGTATACATTGGTTTTGCAATATTAAAGGTACATGTGTAATTTTCTACACTGTACGTTGTCCAAGCTCTCCGTCAACCCCAGACCTACAAGCCTACAAGCTTTGGAGAAGAATGGGTGTGGTGAGGGAGGAAATGGATGGGGG